TTCAATGAAAAATACCATACAATAAAAAAAGCAAAAAATAATAGTAAAGAAAAAAATAAACGGAAGAACGGAAGAGCAGAAACATGATATGCACAACATGTGTACATTTTAACAAAAATAATTGTTTTCTTTTCTCCACTTACAGTCATATCTTGTACATAGTATGAGTATTTGGATCTTGTACAAGTACACGCATCAATATACTCGAATATGAAATTTATTAAAATGATAATGACATTATGTACTTCATTTTATTTGTACTTATTATGTATAAGTATTGTATTTCATTTAATTATTTTTCAGACATAGAAAATTTTAGACAAAAAAACAAAAATGCATTGTAATGTGCGATTGAATTATAACAATTTTCCTGATTAAAAATTTATTACAAGATTTATTTTTTTTTTTTTACCATGAAATTGTATTTAATTTAGTGTTAATTATAATGCTGATTCATCTAACTATCGTTTATTTATTTACCTTCATCCTTATATAATATTGTTAACTTCTTTCATTGCAATCTTATGAAATATGAAATTTTTATTAAAGAAACGTAAGAAGGAAAAAATTAATAAATGTTGCATTTCAAAAATTTTTATTGTTTACTTATATATACGTGATTATTATTATTTGATTTTAATTAAATATTATTTTCATTTTTTAATAATTAAGTACTTACAAATTAATTATACAATACATATGTATATTATTTTAGTGTTAGTTGAGCAAGTTTCTTTCTTAAGTTTTCTATATTAAATTTCACAAAGTTTTGTTAAAAATTATGTTTGCTACATTCTAATAAATTAGAAATTAAATGTGTGTGAAGAATTTATGTATATACAGGGTGTTTCGAATTTAAATGTATAAGTATATAAATATTGTATAGACTTTCATGAGTAGACAAAACTTATATATATATATGAGGATGTTTTTCACAGCTCAATAGGTTTCGAGTTAAAGAGACTTAAAGTCAATCTCCTTAGAGATTTTTACTTTTTAAAATTGCAAATATAATTCATGTCTTGTGTCAGATAAAGGCGCTTTATTAAATATGATTTCGAAATTTAGAACAAGGGCTTCCCGATTAATATCTAAATTAAGTATAGTTATGATCTGTTAAGATTTTAGAATTCTATCATCCAAATTTATAATGTATTTTCAATTGAATTGAATGTTCCTGCACTTTTGTAATGATAATTATGCTTTTTAAATAATTAATTTCATATACCTATTCGAAATAATCTTTGAAGATATTAAATATAGAGTAAAATTGAATTTATAAAACAAAGATCGGAATGTGAATTAATTTTTAAGGAAATTATAATTTTTGATTCCCTCAAAAGGCTTTAATGAAATTAGGAATTGGGAAAATTTTTATAATAAACCAAATTTACTTTGCTATATATATTATGCCGAAATTAACTTAATTTTTAAAAACAAATTATACTTATATTAATTTCATAAATAATTATTATATAACTATGTATACATATATTTATATATATATATATATATATATATATATATATAACTCTTTAATTGTATTATAATTGATTACATATAATAGTATAACAATATATAATTTTCTATACATTTTGCGCGCTTTATTAATGATTTTTCATGATAGGCAAATAAATATTTTAAATCAATGTAATTAAAATTTTTTGAGATAGATAAATGTCTTGATTGATAATCACTTAATAAAACCTTAATAATCGAAAATTTTTGATTATACATGAAATGCTTTAAGCTACTCAATTTTATTATAAGACTAACCAAAGTTCAAATTACTTAAACATAATGTAAAACAAGAAATGTGCGTGCCCATATATAATATGAAACATTTTTAATTTTCAACATGTAATCAGCTTTCTAATGTCAGCATTTTTAGTTCAAAATCATTATTATAACTTAATATATTATATAACAATTTTAGAGGTAACGAAAATGAAATTTTTTCACTAACTATAATTCAATTCAAATAAATGGTGTTACCATGTATATATAGTTTAATTATAAACTTGTAAAGAAATGAGAAAATTCATTAAGAATGCAAAACAAAAAAAGAAATAAAATTTTGCACAAAAATTTTTTTTTTTAATTTATTTGACCATTCCTCACATAATTGGTGTAGATTCGCACGTATATTTGTACTATGTGTACATAAGCGCCTACAAATAATGAATAATTGAGAATTGAGCACAAAAATTTGAAATATTTTATAAATTCGATAGACGCTTTCTGACAAATTAATTTCAATTAAAAATTTAACATGTTAAAAATATTAATTATTCGGGGTGATCGATCATATATTTAATTTTTTGGGGTGATAAAATAATTACAAATAAAGTAAACAAATAAAAAAAAAATTGTTTATTTAGCAATTATTTTTAAATAAACTTTTCGAAGAAAATGAAATGTAAAAAATTTAAAAAATTGAGAATTGAATTATGACGAAAAAATTTAAAAGAAAAATTGGAAGTAAACATTTGAAAAATAGAATGAAAAAATAAAAACAAAATTCGAATCTAATTAATAATTTTATGCATTTCAGTTTGTTTAATTTAATTTTCTAAATAAATTGAAATTCGGGTTTAGAAATCTGACGAGAGAATCATTTTTGGTAATTCTAAGAGAAAAAGAATATTTAGTTGTAAATAGAAATGAATAAAAGGGAATTTTAGAAAATTTGCTTATTTTAAAAAGGCAGTGATTTCTTAATAACCTTGTATCCCAAATCGCATTTTCTTTGCATAAATGTATTTTAAGTACGGTTACAGCTTAAAAAGAGTCTTCCGATATCAAAAATTACTAAAAAATTCTCATGAGTTTAATACTATTTTGGATTAACACACAACTGGCTGCATGTGTTACCTTATACAAACACAATATAAAAAGTATACGTGTTGCAAGAGCATTCTTTGATACACACAATTTAAGAACATAATACAAGCAGCTTTTTTCTATAAAACATTAATAAAACTAAAATAAATTTAATATTTTTTTTTTAATTTTATTTGTTTCTTAATTCTGAGTACCGGTTTTCTAACTATTAATCAAAGTAAAGATATCAAATATGCCTGAATTATTTAAAAAATTAAAATGACTAGTGAATTTTTAGACAGTGAGTATATTGCTGCTAAAAATAAAACATTGTTATCACATTCATGTGATAAAAAAAAATCTTTACTTAGCAAAAATATGTTTAAAAATTTTTTATATTGCTAAAAGTACTAATTGCCCATAGCTATCAAAAAAAAAAAAAATATTTTTTTTTCCAGTTTTCATAACTTACCTTGTACAAAAATATCATTAATTATTATTTCTATTAGTATGATATGAGTGCACTCATATTATATAATATGTAACCATATTCATATACATGGAATATGTTAAAAATTTTACCCGCGTAAATTATGATGAACTTTTACGATTTAACCTTGTGCAAATACGTAAAACACAAAAACAAAAAAAAATTATCCAAAAAGAAAATGTTGTTACTTTGGAAATAGCTAATAACTTTATATCGTAAAATAACTGAGGTTTAATTTAAAATAATTTAATTACTTTAAAATAATTTAATATACTTATTATATAAGAAATTTGTTGATGTACACATATATTTGATAAATACTACTAAAAGAACGTTGTAGGAAATGAAATACATAAATAGTTTTTAATTTAAAATTTAATTTTATACAACTATTATAGTAATTTTTTTTGCAATTATTCAATTAAATAAAAACTGTTATACGATTTATAAATTTTTATTTTAAGTACGTTTTGAATTTATTCTGTAATTTTTAATGTTATAATTCAAAAGAAACAATATCATACTGAAATATACTTGATATACTATAAAAGAATATCTTCAAAATGAGTGCTGTAAATATATATATATATATATCTAAAGCTAATGTAATAATTTTAAATCAATTAAACTAATATAAATTAAAAATTTTAAAATTTGGACATAATTGTGATGAAAATGAAATTGTAACAATTATTACCCCTTTCATATACGTACTAAAAAAATAAAATTCTTGAGTTCTTAATATATTTGAAAATTTATCGAATTCTGAAAATGACTCCAAGGGAAGTGTTGCCTATCAAATTTAGATACTTTTCACTGTTACATTATTTTTAGTGAAGCATAGAACTATTCAGTAAATATTATATAGGAATAAGTAGAGGGTTATAGTAGCACAATCAGGTGAATTATAATCGATAAGAAATATATTTGTAACACTATCGACATCTTATAATACAACTTATTACAAAAAAGTTCAAACAAACTGTTATAAAGACTATGATTATAATATTTTAAAAATATCAAATATACTCACTTAGGGCTTTATATTTTATTTGAAATCATATACTATTTAAAACAGAAATGATTAACCAAAAAAAAAAATTAATTTGGCACGCATTTTCAACATCAGATATTTCAAAATACTTATATACGTATAAAAGTATGTATATTATACAATATTCAATTTAATGAACATACTAACAATAATCATCAACATATTTATGCATTATCGCATATATACAAAAAGAAATAATACATAAATAATCTAATTTTATTATTTAACCTTTATCTAACTTAATAATAAGTTAGTTAGTAAAAATATTTTAAGAATTTAATGTTCACTTAATTACACATTTACTTTACTAATATTATGTGTATATATATATTATTATCATAATATATTATCTAATTTCTCATTTATGGAAGATGATTGTGCTTAAATTTCCATGAAATTTTATCATTTTATCTTTACAAATAAGTAAATCTTTTCAATGCTCTTTTAAACTACTTAAGTAATTTATTTATTTTATTATTATGAAAATATAAATATTTTGAAATTTCTTTTTAAATTAAACGTTTATATACCCAAGTATGTAATTTAAATATACATTGAAAATAGGTTTTAGTTATGCAAATTATAAATTTTGTTTTAATTAAGTTCATATTTATTTTTCTTTTCTATTTTCAGTTGGAACAAAATTTTTCTATAATAATGTTGAAATTATTCTTAACATTTACAATTCTTATTTATTTATGTAAGTACATTTTTTCATTTTTATTTTAATTATTTTTAAAAACAGAATTTTACATATTAAATTGTTACATTTCTTCCTGTTTTCTTAAAATTCTTGACTTTCATAATAAAAAAATTAAAACCTACTGCATTATTTTAATTATTATACAATTTATGCTTTATTTTCAATAGGTAATGGTAATTTAGCACCAATTTTTACAAATATAACTGATAATTTGACATTATCTGAATCCACACCAGTTGGAAGCGTAGTATTTAATTTAGATGCATATGATCCAGAAGGTGAAAATGTAACATTTGACTTGGTTTCTGATTATTTTCAAGTGAATTCAAAAACTGGAGCAATCACACTAATAAAAAAATTAGATCATGAGGTAAATGATTTTTTTTTTCAAAATATCATAAGAATTATACATACATATAATTGAATTAACGAGATCTTATTTTTTATTAAATTTTTAGAAAGAACCAAAATTTCAAATAACAGTTTCACTGAAGGATAAATCTGAACAAATGAATGGTGACAATGAAGAAAAAATATACAATGATGTTCAAGTACCAATAAATGTTTTAGTTTTAGACGAAAATGATAGACCACCTGTTTTTCAAAATGTAATAAGAATAATTGCGATAAGATTCATAATCAAATTATGAAGAGAAACGAAAAATTATGATTAATATTGTAATTTTTTTTTGTAGACACCTTATATTGCTGAAATTTCGGAAGATGCACCAATTGGTTCCACAGTTTTTGCAAATATAAAAGTAACTGATATTGATACTGTTGGTGAAAGTTTAGAAATTTCTTGTATTGACAGTTCAGAATCATCCGATTCTTGCACAAAGTAAATTTAGAAAACAAATTTATTAATTTTTAAACGATTTTATGAATTTTTTTATTATTTTAGATTTGATGTGATAGTTGTAAGCAACACTCCAAATGAGTTAATAGCAAAAGTTGTAACAAAAGGAGAGTTTGACTATAATGAAAAATCAAAATATTTTTTTAATTTAACTGCAACTGTAAGTTTCCGCTTATATAATTGCTAGCCATTTAAGTTCACATTACTTTTTGATATTTTAGGATGGAATTTATTATACAAATGAGACATTTGAAGTGCGTTTAAAAGATGTTCAAAATAAGCCACCAGTATTTGATAGTCCTTTAGTAGCAATAATTGATGAAAATGCTCCAATTGGTACAACAGTATTAAAAATACATGCGCATGATGCCGATACAGGAGATCCTAGAAAAATATATTATGATTTGTTGACGAGTTAATATTTGTTATTGAAAATTCATTTTAGTATTACTTAATGTGTTATATTAAATTTTCAGATCCATTAGATTATTTTCTATTAGACAGTAAAACTGGGGAGCTTAAAACAGCAAGGCCATTAGATAAAGAAGCTGTAGTTGATCCTATCGGAAATATTACTTTAACCATTAGGGTAAATATTAGATATAATTGCAACATTAAAAATTAAAACTGCATTTAAATATTAAATACTGTTTAATTTTTATGAAAAATAGGCAAGGGAAATTATAGATGGTAGTCCTAGTTCAAATGATTCTACGACAGCTATAACAAATGCGTATGTAATTTTGAAAGACATAAACGATACACCCCCAACATTTAATAAGAAAGAATATAATGTCACTTTGTCTGAAAATACTATACCAGGAACAGTTATATCTAATCTGGAAATGAACGTAACCGATGCTGACGATGTAAATTAGATTTTTACTTATAAAAAATATTTTCAACAAAATCTCTTAAATTTTTTAAAGGACATGAATTCCATTTTTACTTTGGAGTTAAATGATGTGTCGGGTGCTTTTGATATAGATCCTAAAGAAGTTCATAAAACGGCTAATGTAACACTTCGTGTTAAAAATGCAGAATTAGATTATGAAAATCCAAATCACCGAAAATTTATTATATTGGTAGGCATTTAAAATCAAAAGGAAATTATTTTTGGAAATGAAGTATTAACTTACTAAAATTAAATTGCAGATTATTGCTAAAGAAACTCATACAAAAGAAAGATTAAGTTCAACGGCAACGATTACTGTTACCGTAACTGATGAAAATGATAATAAACCAATTTTCGAGCAAGATTCATACACAGCGTCTGTATCAGGTACTCGTATTAGGATAATATTAGGCTACAATATTTATCGAAAGTTGACCTAATCGTATATTTTGAATTTCAGAATCTGCTGATCCAGATGCATTTATTGCAACAATCAAAGCAAAAGATATAGATTCTGGGGATTATGGTGATGTTGGAATTCGTTATTCATTATCCGGCACTGGCTCTCATTTATTTAATGTGGATGAAAAAACTGGAGTTATTACGTTAGCAAACTGCCATATGCCTCAAAACGCTATAGTACGGAAAAAAAGAGAGCAGTATGATTCATCAAATGGAAATTTAAGTTCTGACATATCTGTGATGCAGCCCTCAACTTTAGATGGCCCAGATAATCAAAAATCTGGGAAAAGCTTAGATATAAATAGCAAGTGTTTAGATTATGAAACAGAAAAAGAATATAGACTAGCATATAAAGCTACAGATGATTTAGGCAAAGGCCAATCCGCTGTTGTTCCTCTAAAAATTTTAGTAGTAGATGCAAATGATTCGCCACCAATATGTGATATACCAATTTATAGGTTGATAATATCAAATTATATATTTGGCAAAATTAATTTCTTAAATCATTTTTAGAGCTGTAATTGACGAAGGAGCTAAATCATTTGAATATCCCTTAATTATTAGAGCAAGAGATGCTGATACTGTTTCAGAAGTCACTTATAGAATTATAGGAAATGATACAATTCATAATTTATTTGATATTGATAAACGTTCTGGGCAGATAACACTCCGGCCAAATGTTACACTTGACGTAAATAATCTTAATACTTCTCTATTTTTTGGAGTGGAAGTAAGGCGTCAACTTTTATAGCTTTGTTTCTTAAAAAATCAAACACTATGAATTTATTTTTAAGGCGAGTGACGGAAAATTCATAACTACATGTACTGTTGACTTGACGATACGTGATATCAATGATCATGCACCTGTATTTATGCAACCTTTGTACGTAAAATCTATAGATGAAACTGCAGAAATCGGTTCGGATGTTATTTAATTAAATTAAATTGAAATTTGAAATGTCTTTTTTTAGGAACGATTATAGAGAAGATTATTGCAACTGATACTGATAAGGGCATAAACGCGGAGATAAGGTGAAAAGCAATTTTTTTTTCTTCAATTCTATAAAGATGGAAAATAAAATATGTATTATTTTCCATAAACTTTTAGATATCGAATTGAGAATGGTAGTTCAGGAGATTTTGATATTGATGAAAAAACTGGAATCGTTACTGTCAAACATAAATTGGATTTCGACCGTCGAAATACTTATCAAATGGAAATCATTGCTTCAGATTCAGGTAAATTTAATTCGCTGAATTTTTTTGAAGTGATTTTAATATTATTTTAAACTTTTATGAAAAGGTATCCCAAGTTTAAGTAGCACTGCCACATTAATTGTTAATGTAATGAATACAAATGACAAAGATCCATACTTTACACCAATTATTCAGGAAACGAAGGTAAATTAATCAATCATTCACCATAATTATTATTAATTACAGAATTAATATATTACGCAGGTAATGGAGAATACCACGATAGGTACTACAGTTCACAAATTGGTAGCTATTGATCCAGACATATCGTCACACGATGCCCTGAAATTTGCCGCTACAGAACCCATAACTGTAATAGATGAAGATGGCAATAACATAATGGAAAGTACAGAGCAATTAGGGCAATACTTTTCTATAGAATCAAACGGCGACGTTATTTTAATGCGACCTTTAGATAGAAAAAAGTTTGCGGTAAAACAAAAAAAGAAATACATTTGCATTTTAACTACAAATTTTGTTTTTATACATTGAAGACTATTCATTATACTGTTTTGGTGACCGATAGTACTGCTCCATCGATTCAACAGGGGAAAGGAGAATTAATAATTAGTGTACTTGCAGTCAATAGACACCCGCCAGTATGTCCTTCAATTAATTATTAAAATAAAATTTAATAGAAATATTTTTAAATAGAAATTTGTTGAGCCCTGGACACCAGAAAACCGTAGAATATTATATCAAATTCCGGAAGAAACTCCAATTGGAAGCACGTTAACCACACTTCAAGCATATGATCAAGAATCGGTGATCGGTGAATTTAAAATATCGTCCAATAACTATTTTGTGATCGATAATTCGACTGGTTAGTTTCACCATAATTCCGTAACTAAAATTATTTTTTATTAATGTATATATTTTAACGATTTCAGGCAAAATCACAACAATTTCTCGTATTGATTATGAGGAGGTTCAAGAAATCAATTTTATTGCCACTGTATCAGATGTCGGAGTTCCGCCATTAACTTCTACAGCAGAAGTTACAGTGAATCTAATAAATTTAAATGATAATTCTCCTACATTTGAACAAGAATTTTATATATTCAATATCACTGAAAATTCTCCGCCAGGAACGGTGGTGGGAAAAGTGCAAGCTCATGATGTCGACCTTGGTAATGTTAAGAATTATTTCTAAATATTCATAAAATTTTATTTGCTTAACTTTTAGAATTTTTTGGAGAAATCACGTATTCGTTGAATGGCGAAAATAGTATTTATTTTGAAATCGATTCTTTTACTGGAAGTATACGAGTTAAAGACTCATCAATATTGGATCACGAAAAAAATAAATTTGTAAATCTAACAGTAATTGCTACAGATAAAGCTCCCGTTCCGTTGCAAAAATCAGCAAGTGCTAATGTAATACAGTTCAAATATAAAAATCATTAAAGCTTTTATTAAAAATGAGAAAATTCAATTTTAGATATTCATCAATGTTCTGGATGTTAACGATAATTATCCATTGTTTACAAAAGAAGTCTACACAGCTAGAGTTCCTGAAAATGCGTCACTTAATCCACCAGACTATATATTGAAAGTAACTGCGGAAGATTTAGATCAGGGAGTGTTTGGTGATATTAGATATTCGATTGTCTCAGGTAATGAAGATAAGCTTTTCAGATTAGATCAAATGTCTGGAACAATATATCCATACGAAAGTCTACAGGGAAGAAAAGGTTAATTTAAATTGCAAATCGAAAAATCTGAATTCCATAATAATATACCAATAATTGTAGGTGTTTATTCATTAAGAATAGAAGCTCGTGACAATCAGGGCTCAGGTCATAATCCTAGCTTTGCAAGAGCTGTTATAGAAATTTATGACGTAAATCAACATCAACCTAAATTTGTGGTACCTTCTGAGCAAAATACTACTCTAGAACTTTACACTGATATTCTGGAGGCTGGCCATTTGTTAATGACCGCAAAAGCATATGATAATGATACAAACGAGAACGGAAAACTTTCATTTTACTTAAGAGTTTGTTTCTAATTTCTTTATATGAGTTCTGTTACTAGAATTATAGGAAACTTAATATTTCAGTTTAATGATGAAAATCAAGATGAAACCAACGAATTTAAAGTTGATTCTACGACTGGAGAAATCAGAACAAAAATCGATTTGAAACGCAAAGAACAGTCTGAGTATGGTTTCGAAATAGTTGTGAGAGACCATGGAACACCAACACAGCTCGAATCAACCAGTTATGTGAAATTGATACTATACGACGCAAATGGCAATCGCCCGGAATTCCCTACTGAATTAAATCCATATAAAATTTCCATAAATGAAAATAGTGGAAAAGATGTGAGAATAGGGAAAGTTGAAGCTTTTTACAGAAATAAAAATTTGAAGGATATATACTATTATTTAATTTTGGGAAATGCGGATGGGGCATTTTATATAGATAAAACTACCGGAGAAATATATACAAATAAGTCGTTAGACAGGTAGTGTGAAGTTTTAAAATATTATAGTATAAACGCAATTTTAAATTTATTTTATTAATAGGGAAACCACCGATTCATATACTTTGTATATTTTGGCAAGTAACAAACAAGATTTGTATATATCAGAGGCTGAAAGAGCTTCATATACTATAAAATCTTTAGAAAGCGATGTCCGAGTCGCAACAGTTAATGTAACTATTCTTGATGTTAATGACAACGAACCAACATTTGAAAAACCTGTGAGATGAAAATGTTTCAAACATAATTTTCTTGTTTACTTCAATTTAAATTTTTCATTATAGTCATATTACGCCGGTGTCAATGCTAAGTCAACTCTAAATGCCTATGTGGCCCAAGTAAATGCATCTGATAAAGATTTTGGTGAAAATGCAAAAATTGAGTATTTTATTATTACATCAAATCTTTATAAATATGGATCGTCAAAAGCAACCGGTTCTATTGTCCCAAGTCCATTTAGTAAAGATTTAAAAATTTAAGTTTTTGCTTTAATATTATTAATGTGAGACATTTTCATTTTAGCCGTATCTCCAGAAGGAAGAATAACAACGGCAACTTTTGTAGCTGAATATAATCAAGATAGATTTGAATTAGAAGTTATTGCAAAGGAGACACAGCCACCTGAACGTCATGCTAAAACAAAAGTTTATGTAATTACTTATTTAAGTTTTAGTCTGTTTTTTCCATTATAATATTTTTCTATTATTTTAGGTTTGGATATACGATTCTTCGCAATTGATTCGCGTGATTTTATCAAGACCACCTACTGAAGTGCAAATATATCAGGATGAAATTGTATCCGAACTGAGAAATGCAACAAATAGTCGAATAATTATAGACGAATTACGTTATCATGTTGATTCAACAGGTGGAATACGAGAAGATTGGTGTGATTTATTTTTCCATGCCGTTGATTTAGAAACCCAACAGATAGTTCAAGTAGAAGATATTTTGAAAACCATTGACGCAAGCTATGATTACTTAAGAGTGAGTATAAATAAATATATTTTCTTAGAAAATCCTTATTAATGTTATTGATGTAGGACTATTATGCTGGATTTGCAATAGAAAATGTAGTTCCAGCTCATGTTACAGTTGTTGAAGAAGAGTTTGATTTGGCGCTAGCTGGTTTAGCGGCTTTAATCATTGTGCTATTCGTTGCTGTGGTTAGTTTTATAGTATGTTGCTTATGCTTAAAACATTGGTAAGTGGTTTTTGTGTTTGTAAACAATTATGAATATTTATAGATCTCGCAAATTTTTATAAATTTTAGGAACTTAACTGTCCCAATGGAAAAAAAAAGAAAAGAGACTTTAATCAAAAAACAAATCATTGAAGATTTAAATACGACAGAAAATCCGTTATGGATTGAACAGTATGTAACCTACAAATTTTTATTTTATTTTTAAAAAATTATATGGAATATTACAATTAAACGTAATTAATTTTCGCAGAAAATTAAAGCTTTATGAAGAACAAGAATTAACAATGCAAGTGTTTTCAGAAGCTGAACAAGTTTCAGCATCAGATACCATTCCGGTAAGAATATTTTCTTGTTTTCTCTTTGTAATACTAATGATTTTATAACGTTAAAATTTAGAGTGTATTAGAGAGAAAGGATTCTTTCGAAAATTTACATGCTGTAGATAATACATATGCAACTATTCAACCTAGACATAATACAGCTCCTAGCGAAATTGCTGATTATGCAACCTTACGTAATAATAGAATTCCATCAGTATGTGATTTATTATTATTTTTAAAAGTAAATTTTAAAAAATAAATTTAACTTTTTTAGACTTATGAGTTTACTGGTTCAACATTCCAAGTTCCGATAAGAGAAGATGATGCAGTAGCAGAACTTATTTAATTTTTTTTCCATAATTTTAGACTAAATAAAAAGTGTGGATTGAGATTGAAAAGTTGTATATATATATATATATATCTCCATCCAAATTTTATTTTAATATTTATATAAATATGTAATTTTATCTTTCTCCATGCACATCATATTAATTTAATTTTTTTTTTGTTGAATAATTTCACTATTCATCTATATATTCATAGTGTAAAAAGTTTATTGTTATATAAAGTCATTAATCTCATCTATAATGCACAAAAGTTCCTGTGTCAAATAGCTCATATTTAAATGATGTATAGAAAATTTATAAGAAATCTTTTTTATTTACTTTTACGTTCTACTTATTATATTCAAATTTACTACTACTTATTTTAAGTAAATTATTAGCTCAAAATTAATATAATTGCTCAAAAATATAATTTTGTAAACAAAATTATTAAACACTCAAAATCATATGAGATTTTTTTGAAACCGGGACTCCAGAATACAGTGACATATTAAAAAAATACCGTTTTTTTGTAAATTTGCAGATTTCGTACTGTAAAAATATTAATTTACTTTTACTTATTTTCAATATTTAGTAGATTTTTGAAAGTAGTGTTTATGAAACGTTAACTTGTTTCAAAATATAATAATGCTGAAATTCCTTCCATTTTAATTAAAACTTTTGAATATTATTAATACTTATATATAAAGTATAATTGAACAAGAGCACGTACATAAATGTCCGTCCATATTAATGAAATATTTTTAAGAATTTTAATATATATAATTACATATACTTATGTATAAAATTTATATATTAAATAAAATTGTGCCTTTTTTACTTTTGTGTTATACATTTTTATGAATGCACATAATGTATGTATTAAAAAAATATGTATATTTATTGAACGAATGTAATTATTTTATTATTCTTATTTCTTAAATAATACTCTATATTTTATATAAAATTTTAAGCCATGTTAGATAATATCGAAATTCTCTTTTTTTTTTAATAAATTAATATTTAGTGGTATTTTATTTTTTCTGTAGATACTCAATGAAATTTAGTTTTAATTAGAAGTTTAAATTTTATTTTAATTTTTGAGTTAAATTATGCGAAATAAATTTATAAATAAAGCTTAATAAAATGTATTTAAAAGAAAATTAATGATTTCGTTTTTCTTTTGAAAAAATATCATGTAAATTTTTTACTAGATCATGATAATATTAATCATGATTTGTTGTTATTAACGTTAAATTTCTTAAGTGCAGGCACACATCATCTACTGGCTCCTATATTAGATTTACTATATTTTCCTGCAATTGATAGGCATTGCAAATGTTCCGCTTACAATTTTTTTCTATTTTCAGTGTTGTGATTATAAAATAAATTGATGTATGGGTCAATAATAAAATATTAAATAAATAAATAATTAATACACATAATTTTGAAAAGTCTATAATAAATATTTTAAAATGTTGAAAATATTTTTCTGATTTTAGATTTAAAGAATATTTATTAAAATATAAAATACAACATTGATTTTTAAATATAATTTTTAGATATTAAAATAACTATTTAAAAACATAACAAAACTAATTTTCTAATTTTGTATGATATGATCACTTCATAAATATGCTCGGTCTTCACTTGTTAAATCGTCATTGTCATTACATTGATTATTATTTATATTATTTTCAGTTTGTGGATTTTCTTCGTCATTTTGTTGCTGTTGCATTGGCTTTATTTTACGAGCTGAATTCTTTTTTCGTCTTGTACTTAACCGACTTGAATTTGTAGCGATACAATTATGATATGATCTATTATTTAATCTTGTATTCCAATAAGTCATTCCTTCTAATAATAATGGGGCCGATTTAACTCTTTGTCTCATTAATTCCATATTCATATCATATTCTAAAAAAATTTAATTAAAATCACTTAAGGAAAAGAGGTAATAAATCAATTAAATGTTTCAATTTGTTGTCAAATGTTACATATATTAAAGATCCTAAGCATTATATATAGTCTGGGTCTTTTAAGCATCTTTTAAAATCTTTCAAAATTTAAATTGAATATGTATTTCTACCGTTTGATTGCTAATTTAGGGAAAGTATTCTAAATTACTTTCCCTAAATTAGCAATCGTATTAATATATTCAGATAGGATTCAAAATTTTTATTAAATTTATTTTGTTAGTTAAGCGAAATTTTAGAGAGCAAAGAATAAAAAGAGTAAATTGAATATGATTTTAAAATACAATTTTAGTTATTCTGTTTAAATTGCAATTTATTTAATAAATTTGAGTATAACATATAGTTTCTACTTTCTATATACTTTCTGTATTTTTAATACTATTTTTTTGTGCTTCCATTTTTATTTGAACTTAATGTTGTTTAACTATTAATCGGAATATAGAATGCATGCTCCTATTTATTTTCTCATTTTTGTTAAATTATATAGGAAACTCTATTTTAATATTGTAAATTTATTGAATTAGTAGTTTTCAGTATACGCTGGAATAACAAAGATTTTTAAAATGTACTTTCTTGACATAGAAAAAAAAAACAAAGAAAAATACAATCTATTAATTTAAATAATTAATGTGTTTAAAATTTGTCTAAAACTTATTGAAAATACCTTGCTTTTGAAGTTTTTGTTCAGCTCTTCTTGTCGCCAAACGATACATTATATCTTCTTTATTTGTTTCTCTGCATAAAAATTAAATATGATAAAATTTAAAGCAAAATCTCATTAAATTTTGATATTTTCAAATAACCTATATATTAAGGATTTCCAACCTGGAGTACGTTTAACATCCCAATTAAATCTACTTTTTGTTTTATATTTAAGATCACTGGGGCTTGGACTAGGATCTAAATGTGGTTTATGTGTTAATTGTGCTCTAAGAGTTGCTGCTAAATTAGATCTTGCTGCCGGATATACTGGTGATGGTGTTGTTGATAAAGAAACTTTTAACTATAAAAAAAAAACACTTCAAATCGAAAAAACATTTCAAATTCACTTTTAAAATTTCACCTTGGAATCAGGTTTTTTAAGTTCAGTTCCTAAAAATGTAGCAATATCACATGGTTTTAAAGAAGTTTTTTTTATAATTTTTTTTCTTGGGGAATTTGATGATTCTGAAACATTTGTTTTATTATCAGATGGGTATATTGTTGGAGTTGTTAACGCAGGTAAAATATTCGCAAATATATTTTTGAATTTTTTTCTATAAAAAATGAATTAATAAAAAATACATTTAAAATAGCTCTACTAAACAGAGTATAACAGTTTTTTACATATAACCTATATAAGTGTAAAAAATATTAATATACAATTTTAATTTTTTCTTTACCTTGATTTCGGAATCCCAGTAGAACCATTCTTCCTACTAGAAAAATTTATAGAATTTTTTGTATCTTTTACACTTTCCAATGGATAATAAGTGTCATTTGATTTAAGATCCAAAGCTTCCATATCATCATACAATTGACTCATTGAATACGATTTTTTCAATTGTTTTCTGCAATAAAAAATCTCCAATAAATTTTTTATCCTATAAAGTCATAAAATATAATTTAAATATTTTAAAAGTCTTGGTCATCCGCATATAAAAAAATATTAAAATAAAATATTTAATTTTAATAAATTAATCTCCGTTAAACTGCTTTAATAATATACAATTTACTACTATACAATTAAAGATTAAGAATTTTGTAATATAAAAATATGAATGTGCCTACATCATAACATTGCTACAAAACATAGTTAATTTGAAACGGTAGCTAGAACTTCGTCTCACAATACAAAAAACTTACTTAGATTTTTTCGATCCGGTTAATTTTTTTCGATTTGTACTTAAATTACTAGTTTTCGAATATTTTGTTAAGTCTTTAAATGTTGAATAATTTGTTATAGCTGTAGATGGTCTATCTAAATCTGTTGCTGTTGATGCTGTTGTTGTTTTGTCCGTATAAATTTTACTTTTTCCAGTATCATTTACTGCATATGTTGATGTAGACTTACAACGTAATTTTAAAGAATTTTCTCTTAATTTTGTTAAAACTGAATTAAATTCATTCTCTGGTAAATGATTTATTTCACTATAATCTAAAAATATATATACAAAATATTAACAAGTAATAAAATTGAATTAATTATAATTTCTTTAAAAACAAATTACTTGGAATACTATCATAAAATTTCGCTAGAGACTTAATTTTTTCAATTTCAAGATCTGAATTTGTATCACACATTATTAAAAACGAAATTTAATAATAATATTAAAAATTCTAATAATAAAACATAGATTTTAATAATATTTATAAATGAATTATTTAAAATGAACACTTTTATTTAATTTTTTTTTCCTTTATTAAACAAAAAGAGCGTACAATTTTGTGTAAATAAGAGTTTTTCGTGTATTGATCAAACAATTTTTGTATCTTGGAAGGTTTCTAAGCAAAATTATAATTATTATGAATATTCCAAATTTTGGAAAATAAAAAATTTTGGAATGGTAAAAAAGGAAATTAATCGACCTTGAATATGGGGCAATATTTATTTGTTATTCTTTTTATGGAACTTTATTATAGTAATAAGTTTTAATTAAAATTATTTGGAACACAAAGTTGAACTTATAACCTAAATATTTATATTTATAAATAAATAAATATTTTCCAAAAAGGAATTTTATTTATTTTATATTTATTATGAAAAAATGTTAAAAAAGAACGCAGACTTCTGTATTTCGTGAGGTTATGATATTCATGTACTAACTACTATTCATGTATAATACTCGTATATGCATGTATGAAAATTTGAATAAATTTATATACATACTCGTAAATATAAAAAAAAAGTAATGGTTTCAACATATTTTAGGGGAGTTTATTTTTGTTATTTGGGACAATATTTACATATATTACTATAAGAATAGTGTATAATATTTAAAGGATTCAATATTTTGGATTCAATATTTCAAGATATACGTTTTAATATAAAGTACAAAGGCACACAAAATACTGATAGACACATTAACTTGTCTAGTAATAACTCGTTTTGTTTATAAAACTTAAGTATATGCAAATTATGCGTACGAATAAAAGAGACAGGACCTTCTAAAGAAGATAGAGCGGTTCATTTAAAAATTAATATTATTTATATTTTGTTTAATTTGAATTGGAATTGAAAGTAAGAAATTAGAGATGATAAAAGAAAATCAAATATGTTTTTAAATGTTTAAAGATTTTTGTAAAATTTTACACTTTAGAAATAGTTTTTCATTCGAAATTTTCTATAAACGGCTTAAAAAGTCTGTGAATACAATTTATGTATAAATATAAAGAAAAAGTTAAAATTTGATCCTTCGATCGGAGGATATAGCTAGGTAGGTATGTAAGGAACAATTTTTTTCCGAAACGCTGGTCGGAGACGATATAGAATGGGTTTCCATTGCTTCTTTTATATTCTATTGCTTCTGTTAAAATTTAGATAAGTACATTTAAAAAACACTACATTAGATTGGAACGTTCTGGTTTATACTTACCGCACTTTTTTATAGGAACAAGAATTACAAAATTTCAAAAAACGCGTAAGTATAACACTCTATTACAGAATATCTTCCTATACATTTACACCCACAACTGTACCTATATATTGGTTGAATTTCAAACAAATAATTTTCTTAATATAGGAAAAAGGAAAAATGCTTTTTTCAATTAACTATTAGTTGTCAAAATATTTGATTGCAGTTGAACAGATAATATAAGTGAAATTCCATATAAAGTGTCGTGGTTTTGAATTGTATGCTGGTTGGCTATAATATAAAAGGTTCTTAGTCAAGTAAACGTATAACAGGATAGATGCACTAATGAAAGAAGTTTACCCATACTACTAATATTTTTTTTAATCTGTATTTAATATACTTAATTTTTTACTAAACTCATATAAATATACATATGTATATACGCTGAAGGAGATAAATAAAGGAAATTGAAGTTGAGAAAAAACATTGAATCTGATGTATCAAATATACTCACATACATACATACCTAACAAAAACTTAATAACGCGCATGTAAGCCATGTTGATAAGGATAAAGGATACTCGTACTAAATAAAAATACAATTTTCCTATCATAACATAACAAACATTTGAAACGTATAGGAATAAATTTACTTGCCACGTTTAAATAAAGAAAAGAATTTTCTTACAAAAAATGGAACTGATAAGAGCAACAAGTGATTTCACTTTGAAGAAAATTTTAAAACATAAACCAAAACGTTTATTGTTTATAATATTAATCGTTGCATTTATTGCTTCTTATACTATTTATTGGGATTCAATAATATGGACAATATCTGCAGTTGGTCGTATTGCTATGATAAAATTGCTACCATTCTGGGATTGGACATATCTTTATAATGCTAAATGTTTAATATCAAAGACGACAACTATGCGAGATTATCAAGGAAATGCAAATCAATTAAAAGAATGTCATCTTTGTGAAAAGCTTGGTAATACATATTGGATATATGCACATACAGAAATGATAACACATAAACATACATATATTGGCTTGATAAAAGAATTTTTTTTTTAATTTTCAGATTATATTAAAATTGTCGAAAATATAACATTCTTGCAATTAAGAGACAATTTTATTTATAAAGCTCAACCAGTTTTAATTAAAAATTCAACAAAAATGTCATCAATACCGGAATTACTTATAAAATTATTCGATTCCAGAGATTTTCTTCAAAGTAATCCATGTGATGTTGGTACAAATTTAATGCAATATAAGTTTTTTAATTTGGAAGAAGTTCTATCGTACATAGATGAAGACATGGAATCATCATGGTTTTTACAATTAAGAAATTGTCAATTTTCTGCAGTAAAAGCATCAAGACAATTTTTGAAGAAACCATATTATTATGCTGAACATATGGAACCATTCTATTCAAGTTGGATTTTAATGGCAAATAATTATGCTGGTCTCGAAAAAAATATCAAACTATATGGTTTAGTAATATTACAGCAATTACAAGGTGATCTTTTAATTGTATTATCACCAGACCCAGAATGCTTGCATAAATGTAAGGAACAAAAAATTATCATTAAATCAGGGGAATCGTTAGTATTCTCAACTGATCTTTGGAATATGATGTATCTAATTGATTTAGATCAGATGGTTTTAAGTAGTATTATGGAAGTCTACTTTTAAATAAAATTGAAATTGAATGCATAAAGAAAATAAAAATTTAAATAAAACAAAACTGTTATATTAAAATTTAATTTTAATTTAAAAACAAATTCATTTTACAATAATCATTAAAATAGTAAACAAAATTTTCACATAAATGTTATTTAATTTTAAAAGAGTTGATAACAAAAGTTTTAAAATTTTAGAACACTACCTTACCTTTATAGTGCGTATCTTTAAAAGTCATTAAGGTTCTTTTCGAATTATGGTAATAATAAATTTTTAGAAAAAATATGAAATAAGAAATTATCAAAATAAAATTCCAAAATTTAAAAATGTTCAATACGATTTTTCTGAAAAGGGGAACTATAGAGAATTGAGGGCTTACATAATATTTTATACATTTTGTGTTCGGCTAAAAATTTTCTTATAAACTGCAAATATCTAACTTGTATTGGGATCTTGTTAGTTAAGCAGCACTGTAAAAGAACTATAAAAACTGCATTGGCAAATAAAACTCTGGCGTCAAAATTTAATGACATTGACAGTTGATAACGTTTACTTATCTAAGTTATATCAAAGCCGAAAAAATTTTTATGCTGCAAATTTGGTAGAAGATGCCATTTTCCCAGAACGTCATTTGAATACAATTTTTTAGAGAAAAAAAGACGTCGTTGAACTTTTTTTGATTTTTGGGTAAAAGTAGATGTAAAACTGAAGAAGAAAATTAAGAGAATAAATTTTCCATTAACTCGGTTAAAATTTGAAATTGCTGCCGATTTGTTAGTTTTACTAGAATTAATAAAATTACTTTATATTGCTACTAAAATATCTAGTAATACATACTTACATTTTCTCTATTTTCTTTAAATTCTATTTTTCAGCAACTTTTATATTTCTATAGACAACACAATATAATATGCGATTAATGTAATGAACGGGGACAATTTTCAAAAATGAGTCTAGCAGAGTCACATTGTGGACGCTTTTTACTGATTGAGCGCGTCTATTAGATTGGCAAATCTGTCACCTCACCTCACACATATTAATGCTCGCAGCGTCTTTTAGAACATGGCAGAATATAATGTTAACTCAGAGTTCCTTTTTGCTAACTGTATTTAATGGCGTGATTACAAAAATATTGAAGATACAATTTCGATCTTACATTTTAGTACTCCAACATAAATAGTATAGCAATTAATAGAAAAAAGGAAAATACTTACGTTTCAGAATTTTCTTTTAAAAATAAAAGTCAATTTAATAATTTTAAAATATAAAATTTTATTTATGTACATATGTATGTATGTATGTATGTATATATTTTTATATCTCACAATTTTCTTAAATTTTTAAAAGCTTTTTGTATAAAATTTGATTAGAAAGGAGTTGCATCAGTTCACGAAATCTTGATAAGATGAACAAAGTTTCCAAATCACATAAAAAAAGTCAAATTTCTTCATAAGTAAGTTCTTCATTAGTAAAGAAAGTACAACAAATTTTATATCAGAGTTAAGCACAACAATGGAATCGATCAAAAATAAAAATTTTTAAAAAAATTTTCCAAACGATGAGATGAATGAAATTGGTATACATATGTATATGGTAAAAGAATATATGTATATGATCCGAAGAGGACGTACCACTCTTGTATGCATTTTTAATTAAACGTCGTGCAGAGCATAAAGAGAACATTGGGGATTTTGGATAAATCCGTTCTATTATAGGTCTTGATATAAAGTACGTTCAATAAATCCAAACTGCAAAATCTGAAAAAATAGCATGTTCGACAGTTGTACTGAAAGTTCTAAATGAATTTTGAAGTTTTAATAACTACTGCAAAAATATTAAAAATTATAGAAGAAAAGCATAATAGAAAAGGGTTGGATATTGAAGAATTACTGGAGCATGTTCCTAATCTGCAAAAGTATGTATGAAAAAGATATTTAGGATTTGATATAGATTTTTCAGTCCATCCAAATCTCCATTTTGCTTTGTTTTATAATAAATTTTCATTTTGGAATTTTATAGTTTTGTAATTATTTGTTTTTGAATCAATTTGTTTAAGCATAATTTTTTGGTGCACTTACACTCGTACCATTATTTTACAAAACTTGTTATCTCGATTTTTAAGTAAAATTTATTTATACATACTTACTTAAGAAATCGACATAAAATATTTAAGCATTAAACTTTTGTCCTAAAATATTTGGGAATAACAAAGCAAAAAATTCAAAAGAAATAAAAATATTTAAATATAAATTTTTATAAACAATAATATTTGTTAGTTAGCAATCCGTATTCCTTGTATAATTGCTTCTAAAACTAATTTCATTTAAAAAAGATTTTAATAACATAAAAATTACAAAAATAAAAATTTTTTACAATTTTCTACAATAAATTTGTTAAAATTTTTAATTTAATTTCTGTTATATTTTTTAGTTTGAAAGCAAAATGGTTTATTATTTTAAAAAAACTTCAAAAAAAATACAGTTCTGGCTGATAAAATAATTATGGTGGTATTATAATGGCTGGTGATATTATAGGCTAAAAATAATGAAAATAAGAACTAAGGATAAGATAAAAAGTATTTACTGGCGATTCTATGAAACCTATTATGAGAAATTGATCACAATTTGTAAATTAAATGCCATTTAATTGTCATGAATATAAATTTAAATATCAATAAAAATTACAATATTGAGTAATTGAGGTAAGTTATTTAGTAGTTACCGCAAATTCTTTAACGTCAAAATTTTGATTTTAGTCTGCAAACTGTCTGAAACTAAAACTTTTACGGACAGAAATATAGTAAACTTTTTACCCGTAATTGACTTTTAATTTTGATCATCCGTAAACGTCAAAAAAAAAATTTTTTTTAGATTTAAAATAATTTTATACTTACATATTAAAAATTAATAAAAAAAGTATTTTTTATATTATTTTTAACGTAATGATAGTCACTCAATACATCAAATTTATTTACTGAATTACTACGTCAGACTGTCTGCATGTAAAAAAAAAAATCTACAATTTTGACGCTTAATTGACTTTTTTTAAACGTTTAAGAATTTAAACTTTGACTGAGAGTAAAAACGTAGTAGAGTATCCGTAAACTCAGACAACTCAGATTTTGTAAAATTTGACGTTTAAGAATTTACCATTAATTATTAAAGTTGTTTAGTCGTCCTAATATTGATGAGATTTCAAAGCAATTAATGCATAGAACAGTATAGAATTTAAGATAATTGTAATACAAACACTTTCCGAAATGTGCTTAATTAAATATCAAGTTAAAAATAACATCAAAAATAGAATTTTGATTATGGTTTCTTTTTCAGATTTTTAATTTGTGATGAAAATGTTAAAGTAATATTTAAATTTTGAAGAATATTTTTTATAGTACAATCTCAATGAAGTTAGTAATCATAAAATTCATTAATCTGTTAAAAAGCAACTAACTAACGTATTTTATTGCTTATTTGATTTGAAAGATCAAAACAATTGATTTATCTTTTTACAAACGTAATATAAAAATTATATGTACTGAATCCAATAATATTTTATTAATATTCAACGTAGTGTTAAAAACAATTAATTAAAAGATACATATATTGAAGATGAAATTCTAAAGGAGTTAAATTATCAAAGTTTTGATAATTAAAAATGATCTTTTACACTACAAAATATTAACTTAGGCTTGAAATATCGCTTACTTTGCAATTGGCAAACACATATAGGCTGTAAAACAAAAATTAAAACAAATATAAAAACTATTTCATATAATTTCTTAAAATAAGCTTTTTTTTTTTAAACAAAAATATATAAGTTAAGAAAATTTGATGAATTCAAACAAAATAAAAAATGAGATTATAAGTGTTTCAAAATTTCTATATTTCATAATACAATGTCGCATCGTTATATATAGAAATATTTCACAAAAAAAAATTAATTAAATAATTATCTTAAAAAATTTGAGTAAATTTATAAATAAAATATAAGAGGTATAATATACTAAAACAGCTAAAAAATCTAAATACCATTTTTATTACTTTTTCAATGTGAATTAAAAATTACCTTAATTTTCCAATTAATGTAAAAAATAATGTATTAAATGAAAAAGTTTTTATTATAAAATATTGAATATTAAAATTAAAAGTCTACTAACAATTTAAAAAAAATATCATTTAGTTTCAGAGTTTAGAGTAAGGAAGGAAAAAAATATTAAAATAATGATTAATTACAAATGATTAAAGAAAAAAACTATAATATCATGAACTACTATACTGTTATTTATGGAATTTAAAATTTGTTTAACTTTAAATTTTTTCTTAATTAGCAAAAAACTGAAAAGAATTAAAAACAAAAAAAAATTGAAATTTGGATATATAATATATTTATATATATATATATAATGTCTTATATAAGAATATCTAAAGAAAACATCTATTACATTCTACAATCTACTCTTTATTAATGTGTCCTGTTTATTTTAAAATACATAATATAATAATTACTTTTAAATTACATGTTATGTATTATATATAAATTAATAGTTATATATAATTTATTATTTAAATTTTACTTTTTCATATTTTTTTTTTTTTGTTAAATTTTTTTTTATTTTTATTATTATTTTAAAATTAAATTCTTAAAATCTATTACAAGAAAAAAAAATCGTTATTGAAAACAAAAAAAAAAGAAATATTAAATTTAAAAATTAAAAGCCAAAACTAGTGTATTTAAATGAATTGCAAAAAATCTAATTTTAAATTTATATATAGATACTTAATGTTTATATATAAAATATTTAAACTGAAGAATTTTAATACAATTATATTTTAAAATAAAAAAGCAGTTATATAAGTTTTACCATAAATTGTTTTTTTTTTGGTTTTTGTATGCTCTACATTTAATACTAAAAAAAAAGAAAATTCTATAAAAAATTTAAATTTTAACTTTGTGTTTGAAACAAGAAAATGTTTAATAAAATTCAAGAATAATTCATTCAAGAATGAGTAAGA